TACCTACCATATCTTGGAATGGCCAGTCTACAGCCCAAATGAGAAGTTCCTACAGTCTATATACCTACCATATCTTGGAATGGCCAGTCTACAGCCCAAATGAGAAGTTCCTACAGTCTATATACCTACCATATCTTGGAATGGCCAGTCTACAGCCCAAATGAGAAGTTCCTACAGTCTATGTACCTTTTATATCTAGGAATGGCCAGACTACAGCCTGGATTGGTAGTCATTACAGCCTATATACCTACCATATCTTGGAAGGGCCGGACTACAGCCTGGATTGAAGTCCTTACAGATTTTATACTTACCAGGACCTTACCGCCACACACTTTATGGAAGCCTGAATTAAACGCCTGGAACTGCTTGTCTACTGATTGGTTGAAAATGAAGTCTATATAGGCTTGAACATACTCCTGTCTGTAAATTAAAAACAAAAATTAAATTATCCTTGTAATTATATATTGAAACTTCTAAATGAAACACAGAAGGTATTCTTTTTTTAGTAAGTGACCTTGACCTTTTACTGATGATGCTCAAATTTAAATCAGTTCCAAGGATGACCAATGCAAACATTACAGGGTAGTTTTGTTAAAATCTGTCGAGAAATGATGCTGAAGTTTAATTTTCAGTAACGGTGACCATGACGTTTGACTGATGATATCCATATTCAAACTTTTACCAGGAACGACAAAATAAAACATAATTTTAATGAAAACAAGCTTAAGGAGTGTGATGGTGCAAATTGTGCCTAACTGATGATGCCCATTTTCAAACTTCTCAAGATATGTCCAAGGCAAATCTTTGTCCCGAACTGTTACTTTTGGAACCAAAAAATGCCAGACCTGAAAATTTTGGAATGAGAAGATTGTTTAGACTCCTTAACTCTGAGCTGTTCACTTCAGAATGAAGATAGGTATATTAAGCATACAAGTAAAAGCCTGATGAAAACTTAATCAGGAGAATAGTATATCACAACTTGTCCATGGACTGTTATTTTTTCCAGTAGGTATATAACACGACCTTTGCTTTTGAAGATTCACTACTTTCAGGAAGTCCTCCAGGGTATCCAGAATAAACACATGGTTGGAAAGGTAAGATATTTATTATTTAGAACACTTTTACCTGTGAAGATCCGAAATTATCAATTTGATAATATTTTTTTTATATATGAAATGTTTTATTATTACATATTATAAGGTCCAGTATTGATTGTATATTGACCAATCAGAATGGAATTATCCTTTTACTGCATTCAGAACTGCAGATTGTCTATTCAAGCTGCGGATGAAGTGATGGCAGTTGGAGTAGCTGTTTTCTTTGGTACATACACTGATGTATAAATATAACTACACACCCAGGTAATTGATAATGTTTTTATAGGCAAATCCTACCAGATAATAACAGCATTATATAATTGCTAATTCAAATCAAAACACAGTGACATTATTAAAATATGGCCTCAAAGATTCCGCTACAAAATCCTGTACTTTGCAGAAATATATATATATACCTTAATAATCTTTTGTTCCCTTTGCACTTAAATGTCATAAAAGGAAGATTTAATGGTTTTCCTAATGAAAACCACATGTAATTTACTCATACAGCAGAATGCACTTATACTTTCACAAGTGTTTCGCAATCTTAAAAAATACCTGCATTCTGCCAAACTTGTGTTATAAATAGTATTCAATAGGAAACCAGTAAATATCCTACACACATTCATGAATCCGAAGTTTTTCTTTCATTTTGAGTGGTGTGCACAGCTTAACAAAAGTAGCGAAACTAAAACAAAGAATTTATAAGAGCTAACAGAGTAATGTATTATTTAATCTATAATTATTCTTACTTTTTTAAGACAGATGTCTCCCTGGTGAAGAAGTTGTTATCAGTTGTACCTTACCTGTTATCCTTGGTGACAACCTTCTCTGACCCGTCAGGCACCAGATTCATGGTTTGTATGTCTCCAAAGTTCTCCATTGTTATCTACAATATCCACAAATTACTGTAATGCATACACAACAAAAACAGACTCCAAATTCTGAGTCTGGGCGAGTCTGAAGTACAGAGTACATTTTTCAGTAAAAGTTATAGTTTTTAAGTAAATAGATTGAAAATTGATAGTACCATGCAGGTATCTTCAAAATGGCCTTTCTCTGTGAAATAGCAATAGCAAACTTTAACAGTCGAGATCAAAGATGGGTTCCTTGTAAAATAGAACCTTATATGGTGTGGTCACATAGAACCTTATATGGTGTGGTATTACATCAAATAGAACCTTATATGGTGTGGTATTACATCACATAGAACCTTATATGGTGTGGTATTACATCAAATAGAACCTTATATGGTGTGGTATTACATCACATAGAACCTTATATGGTGTGGTATTACATCACATAGAACCTTATATGGTGTGGTATTACATCACATAGAACCTTATATGGTGTGGTATTACATCACATAGAACCTTATATGGTGTGGTATTACATCACATAGAACCTTATATGGTGTGGTATTACATCACATAGAACCTTATATGGTGTGGTATTACATCACATAGAACCTTATATGGTGTGGTATTACATCACATAGAACCTTATATGGTGTGGTATTACATCACATAGAACCTTATATGGTGTGGTATTACATCACATAGAACCTTATATGGTGTGGTATTACATCACATAGAACCTTATATGGTGTGGTATTACATCACATAGAACCTTATATGGTGTGGTATTACATCACATAGAACCTTATATGGTGTGGTATTACATCACATAGAACCTTATATGGTGTGGTATTACATCACATAGAACCTTATATGGTGTGGTATTACATCACATAGAACCTTATATGGTGTGGTATTACATCACATAGAACCTTATATGGTGTGGTATTACATCACATAGAACCTTATATGGTGTGGTATTACATCACATAGAACCTTATATGGTGTGGTATTACATCACATAGAACCTTATATGGTGTGGTATTACATCACATAGAACCTTATATGGTGTGGTATTACATCACATAGAACCTTATATGGTGTGGTATTACATCACATAGAACCTTATATGGTGTGGTATTACATCACATAGAACCTTATATGGTGTGGTATTACATCACATAGAACCTTATATGGTGTGGTATTACATCACATAGAACCTTATATGGTGTGGTATTACATCACATAGAACCTTATATGGTGTGGTATTACATCACATAGAACCTTATATGGTGTGGTATTACATCACATAGAACCTTATATGGTGTGGTATTACATCACATAGAACCTTATATGGTGTGGTATTACATCACATAGAACCTTATATGGTGTGGTATTACATCAAATAGAACCTTATATGGTGTGGTATTACATCACATAGAACCTTATATGGTGTGGTATTACATCACAATGTGATGAGATCTGGTTTTCTTTCTGCCTTCATACCTCAAATGTCAAACAAAAGGTGTTTTCAATATCCTCCTCTTCAGAACTCAGCAGATCTTCCATACCACTGTATATATAAACAGAAACCATTAGTCTGTGTGGTAAATTACATGATTGCTTTCCCTCTATTAGTAGTACATGTACCCCATATATGTTTATGTCACTATAAAAATGGATGTTGTATAAAGTGTTGTATGAACTTCACTGACATAAGTATGGTAAGTCCTGTTGTTAGAAGGCAGACAGGGGCAGTCTCTGACACCTGGTGTACCTACCTGTACAACAAGTATACACACAGTGTACCTACCTGTACAACAAGTATACACACAGTGTACCTACCTGTACAACAAGTATACACACAGTGTACCTACCTGTACAACAAGTATACACACAGTGTACCTACCTGTACAACAAGTATACACACAGTGTACCTACCTGTACAACAAGTATACACACAGTGTACCTACCTGTACAACAAGTATACACACAGTGTACCTACCTGTACAACAAGTATACACACAGTGTACCTACCTGTACAACAAGTATACACACAGTGTACCTACCTGTACAACAAGTATACACACAGTGTACCTACCTGTACAACAAGTATACACACAGTGTACCTACCTGTACAACAAGTATACACACAGTGTACCTACCTGTACAACAAGTATACACACAGTGTACCTACCTGTACAACAAGTATACACACAGTGTACCTACCTGTACAACAAGTATACACACAGTGTACCTACCTGTACAACAAGTATACACACAGTGTACCTACCTGTACAACAAGTATACACACAGTGTACCTACCTGTACAACAAGTATACACACAGTGTACCTACCTGTACAACAAGTATACACACAGTGTACCTACCTGTACAACAAGTATACACACAGTGTACCTACCTGTACAACAAGTATACACACAGTGTACCTACCTGTACAACAAGTATACACACAGTGTACCTACCTGTACAACAAGTATACACACAGTGTACCTACCTGTACAACAAGTATACACACAGTGTACCTACCTGTACAACAAGTATACACACAGTGTACCTACCTGTACAACAAGTATACACACAGTGTACCTACCTGTACAACAAGTATACACACAGTGTACCTACCTGTACAACAAGTATACACACAGTGTACCTACCTGTACAACAAGTATACACACAGTGTACCTACCTGTACAACAAGTATACACACAGTGTACCTACCTGTACAACAAGTATACACACAGTGTACCTACCTGTACAACAAGTATACACACAGTGTACCTACCTGTACAACAAGTATACACACAGTGTACCTACCTGTACAACAAGTATACACACAGTGTACCTACCTGTACAACAAGTATACACACAGTGTACCTACCTGTACAACAAGTATACACACAGTGTACCTACCTGTACAACAAGTATACACACAGTGTACCTACCTGTACAACAAGTATACACACAGTGTACCTACCTGTACAACAAGTATACACACAGTGTACCTACCTGTACAACAAGTATACACACAGTGTACCTACCTGTACAACAAGTATACACACAGTGTACCTACCTGTACAACAAGTATACACACAGTGTACCTACCTGTACAACAAGTATACACACAGTGTACCTACCTGTACAACAAGTATACACACAGTGTACCTACCTGTACAACAAGTATACACACAGTGTACCTACCTGTACAACAAGTATACACACAGTGTACCTACCTGTACAACAAGTATACACACAGTGTACCTACCTGTACAACAAGTATACACACAGTGTACCTACCTGTACAACAAGTATACACACAGTGTACCTACCTGTACAACAAGTATACACACAGTGTACCTACCTGTACAACAAGTATACACACAGTGTACCTACCTGTACAACAAGTATACACACAGTGTACCTACCTGTACAACAAGTATACACACAGTGTACCTACCTGTACAACAAGTATACACACAGTGTACCTACCTGTACAACAAGTATACACACAGTGTACCTACCTGTACAACAAGTATACACACAGTGTACCTACCTGTACAACAAGTATACACACAGTGTACCTACCTGTACAACAAGTATACACACAGTGTACCTACCTGTACAACAAGTATACACACAGTGTACCTACCTGTACAACAAGTATACACACAGTGTACCTACCTGTACAACAAGTATACACACAGTGTACCTACCTGTACAACAAGTATACACACAGTGTACCTACCTGTACAACAAGTATACACACAGTGTACCTACCTGTACAACAAGTATACACACAGTGTACCTACCTGTACAACAAGTATACACACAGTGTACCTACCTGTACAACAAGTATACACACAGTGTACCTACCTGTACAACAAGTATACACACAGTGTACCTACCTGTACAACAAGTATACACACAGTGTACCTACCTGTACAACAAGTATACACACAGTGTACCTACCTGTACAACAAGTATACACACAGTGTACCTACCTGTACAACAAGTATACACACAGTGTACCTACCTGTACAACAAGTATACACACAGTGTACCTACCTGTACAACAAGTATACACACAGTGTACCTACCTGTACAACAAGTATACACACAGTGTACCTACCTGTACAACAAGTATACACACAGTGTACCTACCTGTACAACAAGTATACACACAGTGTACCTACCTGTACAACAAGTATACACACAGTGTACCTACCTGTACAACAAGTATACACACAGTGTACCTACCTGTACAACAAGTATACACACAGTGTACCTACCTGTACAACAAGTATACACACAGTGTACCTACCTGTACAACAAGTATACACACAGTGTACCTACCTGTACAACAAGTATACACACAGTGTACCTACCTGTACAACAAGTATACACACAGTGTACCTACCTGTACAACAAGTATACACACAGTGTACCTACCTGTACAACAAGTATACACACAGTGTACCTACCTGTACAACAAGTATACACACAGTGTACCTACCTGTACAACAAGTATACACACAGTGTACCTACCTGTACAACAAGTATACACACAGTGTACCTACCTGTACAACAAGTATACACACAGTGTACCTACCTGTACAACAAGTATACACACAGTGTACCTACCTGTACAACAAGTATACACACAGTGTACCTACCTGTACAACAAGTATACACACAGTGTACCTACCTGTACAACAAGTATACACACAGTGTACCTACCTGTACAACAAGTATACACACAGTGTACCTACCTGTACAACAAGTATACACACAGTGTACCTACCTGTACAACAAGTATACACACAGTGTACCTACCTGTACAACAAGTATACACACAGTGTACCTACCTGTACAACAAGTATACACACAGTGTACCTACCTGTACAACAAGTATACACACAGTGTACCTACCTGTACAACAAGTATACACACAGTGTACCTACCTGTACAACAAGNACACACAGTGTACCTACATGTACAACAAGTATACACACAGTGTACCTACATGTACAACAAGTATACACACAGTGTACCTACATGTACAACAAGTACACACACAGTGTACCTACATGTACAACAAGTACACACACAGTGTACCTACATGTACAACAAGTATACACACAGTGTACCTACATGTACAACAAGTATACACACAGTGTACCTACATGTACAACAAGTATACACTACATAGCTGCTCATTTTTATGAGGGATTGAACTGAAATGCCTAATAACAGTTTATCAAAAAGGTTAAGACTACATAATAAACAAGAGGCCCAAGGGCCTTAGCGGTTATATCATAGGTACTGGTAGCTTTATTTTATTGTTTAGATGTGATGTGGAAATCAGCATGTAAACAAAGTGAAATACAATACTTGTCATGTCATCAAAGGATAAGAACTTAAAATATTGGTAAATGTTCCCTTTGGGGCCCCGCCCTAGCCCCTGGTGATGGGGCAGGAATTCCAATTTTACAATGTAATATCCTCATCCACCAAAGATGATTCTGACCAAGTTTGAATAATTTTCTGCTGAAACTGGATAAAATATACCCAAAAGTGTTATTTCCCTATATAAACTATAGTAAACTTTACCCCCTGCCCAAGGGGGGACGGATGGCTCAGGGGTCCTGAAATTTGACAATTTCAATAAAGCTCCTGATGATCTTTCTATCCATGCACTGAAATTGACTGTAGTTCCTCTGAATCTGGAGAAGAAGATTTTTTAAATATTGGTAAATGTTCCCTTTGGGCCCTGCCCTGGCCCCAAGGGTTTGGGTAGGAATCCCAATTTTACAATTTAAAATCATTTTCCTCCAAGGATAGTTCTCACCAAGTAAGAATAATTTCCTACAGAAAATTGTCACAATATACCCAAAAGTGTTGTTTCCCGATATAAACTATAGTAAACTTTACCCCCTCCCCAAGGGAGAACGGGTGGCTGTGGGGTACTGAAATTTACAATTTAAATAAAGCCCCTGATGATCTTTCCATCCATGCAGAGCAACTGACTGTAGTACCTCGGAGTCTGGAGAAGAAGATTTTTGAAATATTAGCTAATTTTCCCTTTGGGGCCCCACCCTGGCCCCAGGGGTTGGGGTAGGAATTCCAATTTTACACTTTTGTAGCCTCATCTACCAAGGATGATTCTGACCAAGTTTGAAAAAATTCCATCCACTGGTTCTTGAGAAGAAGTTGAAAATGTAAAAAGTTTACGCACAACGCCGATGGAAAGAAAGTGATCGGAATAATAAATAATAAATCACCCGGTTTTCAAACACAATTATAAATTCCCCTTCTTATCCATATTCGTGCTCTAATGGAAATCAACAACTATATATTACCAAGGTCCTTATGCTGCTTAAGACATCACAGCGGACCAAACTTAGTATGTATTTATCATAACCCTTCAATATTAAATCCAAATACTGTAACAGAAAACATGCTACTTATTGGGAAAATCACAAAGTTATACACTACCTGCTGACTGTAGGCATCAGATCCCTCAAGTCTTCAATGTTTGGTGACCTGCGAACATCAAGCACAGGTTTCAGGGTACATAATTGGCTTGTTATATGCTGCCAACTCAAACGTAAGTCAACACATTTTGAAATTTTACAATTAGCCTTATATTTCTGAATAAAACATCATTTATGCAATGTGAAATGACAGGCATATGACAAGAAATTAGCAAGTACCACTGAATATCATGTGACCACTGACCAGCAGTAATCAGGTACCACAGAATACAATGTTACAAGCAGTAATCAGGTACCACATGATATCATGTGACCAGCTGTAGTTAGTATAGGTACCACATAATATCAGGTGACCAGCTGTATTTAGGTAACACATAATACCATGTGACCACTGACCAGAAGTAATCAGGTACCACATAATATCATGTGACCAGCTGTATTTAGGTACCACAGAATATCACGGGACTAGCAATAATCAGGTACCACATAATATCATGTGACTAGCAGTAATCAGGTACCACAGAATATCACGGGACTAGCAATAATCAGGTACCACAGAATAGCATGTGGCCAGCTGTATTTAGGTACCACAGAATATCATGGGACTAGCAATAATCAGGTACCACAGAATACCATGTGGCCAGCTGTATTTAGGTACCACAGAATATCACGGGACTAGCAGTAATCAGGTACCACAGAATATCACGGGACTAGCAATAATCAGGTACCACAGAATATCACGGGACTAGCAATAATCAGGTACCACAGAATATCATGTGCCCAGCAGTAATCAGGTACCACAGAATATCACGTGGCCAGTCAGGTGCCAGCAGTGCTCTCATTGAATTCCGGTTGCCAGCAAAGGAAGCCTGCTATTCATCAAATTTGAACCAGTTTCTTTCAACATTATATGCAGCATGTCAACATTCAACAAGCTATTCTTTCAATCAACCATCTGGTCCAAAACTTGGTAAGAACAAAGACCACAGTATACTGATACCTTTTGAGGAGTTTTTTGTAGAGCGCCAGTGGAAAGTCGAGCTGTATGATGGTGGAGTTGTAGATGGCCAGGCCACACAAACAGCCGATCATGTGAAACATGTCAATGCTCTCGAAGGTCTGTCAATAAAACCATAGCAGAAATGGTCACAGAGAAACAAAAAAAGAAAATCATTAGGTAAATACATGTATTATGTTTCTTACAAATCCCTTTTATTTCAAAATCCTCGTAATACCTGAACATGTGACTCACCATAGGATTTAACCAGTAACACGGGAATCCTCATAATACCTGAACATGTGACTTACCATAGGATTGAACCAGTAACACGGGAATCCTCATAATACCTGCACATGTGACTTACCATAGGATTGAACCAGTAACACGGGTTTCTTACAAATCCCTTTTATTTCAAAATCCTCGTAATACCTGAACATCTGACTCACCATAGGATTTAACCAGTAACACGGGAGTCCTCGTAATACCAGAACATCTGACTCACCATAGGATTGAACCAGTAACACGGGAATCCTTGTAATATCTGAACATGTGACTCAACATAGGATTGAACCAGTAACACGGGAATCCTCATAATACCTGAACATGTGACTTACCATAGGATTGAACCATCAACACAGGAATCCTCGTAATACCTGAACATGTGACTTACCATAGGATTGAACCAGTAAGACAGGAATCCTCATAATACCTGAACATGTGACTCACCATCAGATTGAACCAGTAACACAGGAATCCATGTAATACCTGAAAATGTGACTCACCATTGGATTGAACCAGTAACAAGGGAATCTTTGTAATACCTGAATATGTGACTCACCATAGGATTGAACCAGTAACACGGAAATTCTTGTAATACCTGAACATGTGACTCACCATAGGATTGAACCAGTAAAACGGGAATCCTTGTAATACCTGAACATGTGCCTCACCATAGGATTGAACCAGTAACACGGAAATTCTTGTAATACCTGAACATGTGCCTCACCATAGGATTGAACCAGTAACACGGAAATCCTCGTAATACCTGATCATGTGACTCACCATAGGATTGAACCAGTAACACGGAAATTCTTGTAATACCTGAAGATGTGACTCACCATAGGATTGAACCAGTAAAACGGGAATCTTTGTAATACCTGAACATGTGACTCACCATAGGATATAACCAGTAACACGGGAATCCTTGTAATACCTAAATATGTGACTCACCATAGGATTGAACCAGTAACACGGAAATCCTTGTAATACCTGAACATGTGACTCACCATAGGATTGAACCAGTAAAACGGAAATCCTTGTAATACCTGAACAGGTGACTCACCATAGGATTGAACCAGTAACACAGAAATCCTTGTAATACCTAAATATGTGACTCACCATAGGATTAAACCAGTAACACAGGAATCCTCGTTATACCTGAACATGTGACTCACCATAGGATTGAACAAGTAACACGGAAATCCTCGTAATACCTGAACATGTGACTCACCATAGGATTGAACCAGTAAAACGGGAATCCTTGTAATACCTGAACATGTGACTCACCATTGGGTTGAACCAATAACACAGGAATCCTTGTAATACCTGAACATGTGACTCACCATAGGATTGAACCAGTAACACGG